GGGCTGCTGCTCGCCCCCTGCGTCAGCAGCATCAAGATCATCTCCCGCGCCAAGATCCGCACCGTCAAGATGACCTTTGTCATCGTCTCGGCGTACGTCGTGTGCTGGGCGCCCTTCTTCACCATCCAGATGTGGTCGGTCTGGGACCAGCACTTCCCCTGGGTCGGTAGGTGCCGGGTCACTTTGGGCTGGGGCAGGGAGAGGGGGCAGAATCCTTCACGTCACTGCAACGGGCACCGTGGAGCATTCAGGGTTTTGGTTCCTGCACTCAAAGGAACGTCGTTGGACAGACACGGGCAGCCCCAGCGGCTGCACATATGTCACAAGTGACTATATGTGTGAGCAGTGGCATTTATTATGTCTGCTGCCCTGTAAATGCCTTGCGTGGGGGTTCTCTGCTGTCCGGTAACGTGGCTGAGCACAGCCTGACCCCTTCCAGTCAGCATGGCACCCGGCTCTGAGTATATCTCACCTCTCATCAGCCAGCACTTCCCACCAAGCACTGGCAGGGGAATATCTTCAGGCTAGCTGTCCCTCTGTCAAATTCGGCTGAAAATAATTACTGAGTTTAAAAGTCACTGCATGTGGAATGACAGGTGACATCCTAACATACACCTTGTTTCCTTATAACAAAAAAGATGCAAAACAAATGGAAGCCACAATTTCCTGTTATTTCTTTTTTTAATATCCCTGGGTTATCATTTACTGGAGTGAGAGCATCAATTGCCCATGGTACTAAAGGGACTAATACCAAAGAGACTGAAGGGACTAAAAGTTAAGCCCAGAGTGGAGGCATGGGCAGAGAAATAAAGGCTTATTCTAGGTAAATAAAGTATCTTTTACTTCAGAAGTGTTAAAAGAAGTCAAAATGTCTTGGGAAAGATGAGCATTTTGAAGACATTGTTTAAATCTTATGGAACTGCAGAACACAGCAATCATATCTCTGTGGATTATCAGTATTTTTGATAGGTCATTTATAATTTATCAGGCTAAATAAATACTTAAACTAATAAATGAATGTACAAGACCACAACCGTTCAGTGACAGAATACTAATTTCCATTTATGCTTTAAGGGGAATTTGTTCAATCTCTGCAATATGGATTTGATTCAAAATATAGCAATTTGAGTAGTCTTCAGCATTTTTTCGACACAAAAATGCATACAGCTAGATTCTATTCTTATTGAAACCGATGGGCTTTTTGCTATTGTCTTCCAATATAAATATTTTTAAAGCAGAAGTCTGAATAAAAACTGTTCAGTACATGGATAAACATAAATAGAAAAGTTATTTGGTGCCTTCATGCTGTAATGAATCGCCCCATAACTTCCCCTCCCTCAGGTTTTTAAAGTCTGTTCAGACAAATTCCTATTAATTTCAGTGGCAGCTTCAGGACTTTTCTGGATTTCAGAACTTCAGGACTCAATGAGGACTTTTCTGACTATGTCCATACTATTCATTTTTAAGTGTCATTACTCAAATCGATAGCTTAAAAATAGAATTATTCAGTAACTGAAAAAAGTGGTTAATGAAGCAATTGACTGAATATTGAGAATGTTCTTTTGAGGGTTAAACTGTTTCTCTTCTCCCCCACCTGCAGATTCCGAAAATACTGCAACGACAGTCACTGCTCTACTGGCCAGTCTGAACAGTTGCTGTAACCCCTGGATCTACATGTTCTTTAGTGGGCATCTCCTGCAAGACTGCATACAGAGCTTCCCCTGCTGTCAAAAAATAAAGCAAACGTTGAATAAAGATGATTCTAACAGCAACAGTAGACGACAGACTTCTTTTACCAACAACAGAAGCCCAACCCATAGCTTGAACACCTGGGGGGAGCTGCCTCACTCCAAGTCTACCAGCTTCATCCCCATCCCAACCTGAGGCAAGCACCGGAGCACAGAGGTCTTGGAGTCCAGTAGCAGCACTTAGGATGATGGTGGCGAAGCACTTTAAGTTGGTCAGAGGCACAATCCCTTGGTAAAAAGGAATTAGTAAGACAGCCATAAAACATAATGCACTCTATTGCTAAATAAGATATTATGCAGTGTGTAAACTACTTTACGAAAGGCATATGGGACTTGGGCAACTGGTCAGGAGGAGTGACAACAATAAAACTAATATTTTTCTAAATAGAGTATATTATTCATTTTGCTTTATGTTTATAAAATAACACATTGTTTGCTTGTTGTTCAAAGCAGGAAAAAGAGTGGAATCAGTGTATATTGAGGTAACTCCACTCTCTAATGTTAATGCCTAAAATTTCTCAAGAATGACAACTGAAGTCACAGGGAAAGAAGATGATACAAAGATCACAAACTGATCTTGAAGAAAAAAGAGCTGGGAGAAATTCCAGTCTGAGCAGACAAGGTACATGGTTAGGTAGGCTGAGTTGTTGGGAATTTAATTGATCGTATTGTTTTATCTTTCCAAATAACTCTTAATTGTGAACAATTCTTATTTAATGACAGAGTTTAACAGCTCTTATGAAGACAAATCCATCACTGCTATGGTTAATTTCCTATGGTGACACTGCTTCTTTCCTTCATGTTGATGGAAATTTTACAGTTCCTTTTTGTATTGTTGTACCTACTTTGAGTGTTTAAATTCATTTTTAAAAATATATTGACAAAATAACATGGTAAGCACTGGCTAGCCCAGCACTGTTACAAATACATAACAAAAACTCATCATGAACATAATGAAAACTCATCATGACTGCCAGAAGCAATTGCTTTATTGGTAGGAGTTGTATTTTTACTTTTTTTTTTTTTTTTCTTCACTAAGCTAGGACTAAGCCCCATTTGGTCTTAAATAATAGCCCTATAAATTCAGGAGGATGTTGCTGTTTGGTAACAGCTGCAGAGTCAGTAAGACAAATTTGTAATCAATCCCAAGACAAAACTGGGGATCAATCTTACTACTTTTCTAGGAACTTGTAAGAATTGACAATATTATTTATTTATTTTCAACAGATCATGCCAATATGGGCTTCAAAAGTGGTGGCAGCTGCAGTAAAAAGCCATCGCCCCCCCAGCTAGTAGCCACAGAGCATTCAGTGTGTGCTTGTTTTCGCTGCAATGCGTGGCTGAGTCAAATGCTGATCTTACACTCTGAAATAATCCTGTATTTCCATGGAGACTGGATTTTTTTCCTCAAGACTGCCTTCTGAAGCCCCTTGAATGAATTTTGGTGTGTTTTTAAGTCCCGAGGATCTCTTCCGAAAGGATTGCATTGAGTGCAGTGAAAGGCAAGCGAGAGCTCGTGCAGATCAGCGTATGCGCTGTCCCTCTGCTCTGCTCCGCTTTCGTGAGCTCTCCGGGTGCTGAAAAGCTCTCGTTGTCCTCCTGGCACACGCAGGACTCCGGGCAGCTCTGGCGTGCTCTCCGGGACGGAGTGGGAAGCGTGCATGGATGTAAGACGTGCAGGCTTGTGTTGGTAAGCAGGAGCCCCAGCAGCACCTTTCATGGAATCACAGAATGGCTGAGGTTGGAAGGGAGCTCTAGAGGTCATCTAGTCCAACCCCCCTGCTTTCCTTTCTTTTTTTTTTTCCCTTCTTCAAAACCAGGCAGACAAGATTGCTTTTCTAATTGCTCGAGGCAAAAAAAAAAAAAAAAAAAAAGAACTCTGTAACTGAGTTTTTCCCTGGGGATGGAGCTGGCCCCGTGCTTCTCTCAAAAAACGCAGTAGAAATTAATAGAGCTAGGTGCCAGAGAAGTCTGTATCCAGCCCATCTCCAATCTGAAGCTTCTGGTCCAACTTCCTTGACTATTTTGGGCAAAGAAAAGGGAAGAATTAGCCCTTCAAAAAAGCTTAGCTCTTGTTGTTGCTAAAGAAAATTATAACCCTTTTCTCTACATTTGAGTGTTTTGTTTTCCACTCTTCAACAATCTATTCTGTATTGTTGTTGTTGTTGTTGTCAAAACACTAGAACCCAAAGGAGAGCATGGTGGAATGACTTATATTTAATAGACTATCTTTCTGAGCACCTTTAGTACACAAATATGACTACAGTTCTCCCCAGTTCTGGGTGAGGGTATGTGAACCTGAAGTTCCAAAAAATGCATGCAGTGGTGTTGGGAGTATGTGTATTTGTGCACATTATATATACTGTGTATATTTAGCAAGGAAGTATTTCACAATTACTTAAATTGCAAATGTTTCAAGTACACTATTCTTTGCCTAGTTTTATTTTTGTGTTGCTGCTTGCTTTGTACATAGAATATGTATTAAAAAAAGGTAACTAAAAATTTTTGATGGTTTGCTAAATTGATTTATTTTTCTAATGCAGTTTTTATTCAAACAGGGAAGACAGAAAGCAAATATAGAATAATGTTAATTACAAAGCTAGGTAGGATAATGTCCAACATATTTTAAAAAAATGGAGTGAAAATTAACTTAAAATTAAAATTTCTTTAATGTTACAAAGCCAAGGCTTACATCTGTGGATTGTCAGTGTAAATGTTCTCCGTATGTGTTCTGCAGGTTTTGTAATTAATTTGATAAAACTGTTTATCAGCATTTGGATTCTAGATGTTTTTGTAAATAATTAAGGGGTTTTTTCATATAATTGTAGCCTTGGAAGACACTGTATGGGAAGACGTCCCATATTTTCTAAATTGCTCCTCTGTGCAAGTGCGTTTTTTAATAGTTGCTTTGAGTTAACATGAGGGCATGCTAATGAAACAGAAATAAACAAATTGTAAAATAATTGCACATTTAAAACATGGTAACTTGCTCTAATAAATCCATATATTTGTTTGATGAGAAATATTTTTCTTCCTCACTATATTTTGCAGAGCCTGAAAAATATTTGATGGCATTTCGTATATTCTACAAGAGGTGATATTTCTGCTTTAATTTTTATGAGCTATTTGCACAAAAAGCTTTAAGGAATGAACAATCGTCTAAGGTGTGTTTGTATTATGGTGCATGAAGGACACACATCCAAAGAAGAAATGTGGAGTCTGCTCTCCACTGTGTACTGCAGTTACTGCTATGTGGTATCATAGCACTTCCTCATTTTGTATAGATGTGATTTTAATTTTTTGTGTTAATTTTAGGCAATGGAATACTGCCATCCAAGCTGCTTATCCAAAATACAGTGGAGCTGATGAGATTGCACCTTGTTGCTTGAGCTGGTGATGCTAGAATTGCAAATTGCAGCATTCTAAAGATAAGTAGATGGCAAAAGTGGAATTATGTAGAAGAGAATTTTGTTTTTAAACAAGAAACAAAATTTCTAAAAAAAAAGCTTCTTTTGATTGATTTTTTTTTTTAAAAAATAGGTAGTCTATTGGCCCAGGAAGAAAAAAAAAATCTGTTTTCCCACATCAAGACCAAAGTGTACAAGAGGATACAATTTCCTGTGGGCCCAGTCGTTCACAGGATGATTGAGGATGAAAGGGACCTCCGGAGATCATCTAGTCCAACCCGCCTGCTCCATCAGGGACACCTAGAGCGTGTGGCACAGGGTAAAAGACAGAGTTTCTGTCTGCAGCAAATGTGGGCAGCTCCTAATCGTCGCGGTTTAGGGACTTGGTTGAAGGGCGCTCATCCTCCTTGCCAGCCGGTGCACATGGAAGTGGAGGTGCAGGGAAGAGCAGACCTGGGTCTCGCCCTGGGACATGTGCCAGGCACCCAGCTTTGGAAGTGAAGCCCGCTCTCACTGCAGTGCTACATCTCCCATATGGAGACACCCGCTGCAAAGGAAGCTCTTACAGAGCTGCCCTAGCCTAAAGTTCCTCATCTACAGAAAGGACTAGTTATACGCATTGTCCTTGTCTTAAAAGTAACTGCATGAGTTTCAGTCTTTCTCCCTTCTGTATTGGATTTTGGAAGACTGAAGAGACAGAAAGTATGTAGTGTGCTTAAACACCAATTTGGATCCTTCATTATTGCTACGAGACTGTTTTATGCTTTTCATTGAAAGAGTATGCTTTACTGGAAAAATGCAGTGCTTGCATCTGTGTGGAGGAATTATAGCATGTCTATATAAATTAGTGTTTATATATGAGTGTTTATATATGAGTATTTCATGGCCCAGAGACAGATCACAGGAACAGCCCCAGCTGGTTTAGGTGTTCCATGCTGTAGGAGCTGGTCCAGCTGATCTTGAAAAAGGCAGCCAGCTACCAAGGGTAATGTCAGTCACGAGGTTTGTAGGGTTTGTACAAGTGTATAAAAAGCAAGCAAACAGCCATAATGCCTAGTCCCTGCCGAACTTCGTTGGAGTTAACCAGCATGGATCTGCCTCTCCCAGAGCCAGTCCTGCAATAAGCACTAACCAGTAACTAATACTGTATCACTGTTTTGGTGCAACTGCTCAGTAATTTGCCATATGTTAGTACAAACTTGCTTGGAGTAACAATTTACATGCTAATTAACCTTAGGTTTTAATAAGGACGTTTTTAGCTGAATTCCTGACACAGTCCATTGGGTTACCCATTTCTAAAAAGCAAGGCTTGGAGGAGGTGTTGGGAGGGAAAAGCTCTCCTCCCAGCTGTAAGGTGGGGAGGCTGGCAAAACGCCGAGAGGTAAGATACAGGTGGAGTTCCTTCTAATCAGAGAAAAGAGAGTGCCCATTTCCAAACTTTTTATTATTATTATTATTTTTTTTTTATGAGTTCCTTCTAATCAGAGAAAAGAGAGTGCCCATTTCCAAACTTTTTATTATTATTATTATTATTTTTTATTTGGGATATTGCACTCCCTGCATGCTTTGCAAGGGAAGGTTGGTTTTTGGGAAAGTCTGTCAGGGTCTCTGAAAGGTCATCTGCAGTTTTTCTGCCACTTCACATACTGAGACTCTTTTTTTTACTGATGAACTAAATAAAGAGAGCTGAGTCCACTTCCATTTCATCAAGCCACTAAGTCATTCCCAAGAACATTTGTGAACAACTGTGATTCACTATTAGCTTATGATAAGTGCTAACACTATTAACAATTGCATAGTTAAGATACAATGCTCTGATTGCAGGAATAAGGGCTACCATTTCAGACTGCTGTGGGTTGAATTGATTAAGCTGCTAATTTGCAAAGCGCT